AAACCAATTTCCCAACATTTTATGAGGGGAATATCATTGTCATGTAATTAATGGTAACACTGACAAACCCATTTCCCAACATTTTATGAGGGGAATATCATTGTCATGTAATTAATGGCAACACAGACAAACCCATTTCCCAACATTTTATGAGGGGAATATCATTGCCCGTCAGTGTTGCCATTAATTACATTAAAATGTTGGGAAATGGGTTTTTAGTGGAATATCATTGTCATGTAATTAATGGCAACACTGACAAACCCATTTCCCAACCTTTTGATAGCAAAAACCACGAATTTTCACATCTTCAGATTGTGCTACTAAAATCTGCTCCAAAGAACAGTCAAATACAGGAACATGAGGAACATCTCATTTTCAATGTATATGCACTTCATCCTCTTATGGCTTAAGTGAAAAGTTTCTTCTATTTAAAACTGTATTTTACTTTTATTTTATTTATTATTATATTTCTATTCTTTGTCTTTTTTTTTTTAGAGACATCTCCTTTATACTTGTAAATGTGTATATGTAGAACACTATACAGCTGATCTGTGTTTTTGAGATTACAGTTTTTTTTGAAAAAGGTTTGGGCCTGAAACATTAACTATGTTTTCAAGGTTAATTGTTTTTTAAGAAGGCTTTAGGCCTGAAACATTAACTATGTTTTCAAGGTTAATTGTTTTTTAAGAAGGCTTTAGGCCTGAGACATTAACTATGTTTTCAAGGTTAATTGTTTTTTAAGAAAGCTTTAGGCCTGAAACATTAACTATGTTTTCAAGGTTAATTGTTTTTTAAGAAGGCTTTAGGCCTGAGACATTAACTATGTTTTCAATGTTAATTGTTTTTTAAGAAAGCTTTAGGCCTGAAACATTAACTATGTTTTCAAGGTTAATTTTTTTTAAGAAGGCTTTAGGCCTAAGACATTAACAACAACATTTGTTGTGTCAACTATTTATTTCTCTCATTTTGTAAATATCTTAAACAATTTTTTGTAAAACCCTGCTCTAGCCTATAATTCCAAAATTTGGAATGATTAGTGAAGGTAGCCCTTGTGTAGCTAGGTGCAAATACTTGAAACAAAAAACAACAACAAAATTTATTGTAATTTATTTATGTGAAGTATTAAGTTCTTCTGACTCCAAATTAGTTTTCTAAAGCAGACTGTATAATCATAGCACACAACTTTATTTATAGTTTGTATATACGTCATGTGTTCTTGAATTTATAAAGTTAACTAGAAGAAATATTTCTAAAACTGAATAACAAAAAATCTTTTTTTTTTTATACTGCTGCTTTTTCAACAACACATTCCTTGGATGCAAAATGTAATAAATTTATTGAAAGTTCATAGTTTTTCATGTTTGGAATCCTTGTATTATGAAAAAAAGTCAATTATTAACCAAACACGTACTCGGCTGATTAGAAATTTAAGAATATTAAAAAGTTGAATGAAATTAACAAAGCTGAAATGAGATTTTTAATTAATATATATATATATGTAAGTTTGAAATTGCTGGCTGTACTGTTTTCAGTTTTTCTGTGATTTTTTTAGGTGTTGTTCCAGTTAGTATTAGAAGTTTAAGAATATTAAAAAGTTGAATGAAATTAACAAAGCTGTAATGGGATTTTTAATTAATATATATATATATGTAAGTTTGAAATTGCTGGCTGTACTGTTTTCAGTTTTTCTGTGATTTTTTTAGGTGTTGTTCCAGTTAGTATTAGACCGCCTCATCCCCAGAACTTGCAAACAACACTGCCAACTGTAAGAATGATTGTTGACATCAGCAAATCTGTGATAATTTTATCAACGTCTCCTGTCATAAAGCTCCTCAAGTCAAAGGTGTGATAGAAGAATGTGTACTCAAACTTCACACATTAATAATTTATAATGTGGTTAGATAGTTTATCTGAGAATGTATTTTGATACATATATATATATTATTGGAGGTACATTCTAGTAGTTACAGAATAGTTAAATATTATTATTATTATTCTAATGGTACTTATATTTAATTATTGTTATATAATAGTAAACTACACTCCTGAAGTATGCTTAGTACCTGTTTTGGGGTGGCTTTCATTAAAAAATTTACACTGAAAAAAACTGTTTTAATTTTTACCCATTTGTTAAAGTAAATCTAGAAAATTCTAATTTTTAATAGTATGCAAAGCAAAATCAAATCTTTTATAAGTTCCAATTCTATTAAAGGAAGCAGGAAATGTAGTGGACATCAAGTCATGGCCCACAACTCTTGACACTGATGACCTACCCAAGAAGAAGATGGCTAATATATATAGGACAGCCACTCCAGAAATGATAGCCTACTTAGACTTCAGTGTTAGCACAACTGGAATGTTAGCTGGAATAAAAGTATGATAGCAATACGTATATATATATATTTACAATTTTGTTATGAGTTATGAGTAACTCTTTCACTGCAGCATTTAGAGATAAACAGTGCTAGGTTAATTTTTCGATACACACAGAAACTCGTGGTGTTGTATAATTAATTATTATACAACATATAATTATAATTATATATTAATTGCTTATTATGTATCATATCAGTGAGTATATTTGTTAGAGATGATGAGAGACAAAAGACTGCAATATTTTTTATATATACGTAGTGTGATAATTTATGGTTTAAATGCTGAAAACTCGTGAAGTATTGAAACCAATATGCCTAAAAATTGCTCTAAAAATTAGGTTCATTGTAAATGTTTTTGTTTTTTTCCCAAAGCTATAGAACTGAATGAAAAGTTTCTTGGGCAGCAACTTGTTGATGACAAAAGACATATCTCAAATGTTACCTTTCTTCACCTCTAATTTTGAGATGCGATGAACAGATTAAGAGAAATGGGGAAAGATATCTGCAGTTCATGTGATTTTTATGAAATAATTTGTTGTGCGTTTATTTCCGAAATTTTAAAATTGATATGTAACATGTACGATTTTTAAGTTACTTAATGGTTTTTATTGCATACCTATATCTCACAACATTTACTTAATTTCAGACTTTTCTTCTGCGGACTTATAATGCTTGAAACCGGGTTTCGATACTCGTGGTGGGCAGAGCATAGATAGCCCATTGTGTAGCTTTCTGCATAACTTCAAACAAACATCGGACTTTTCAAGGCTGAAGTAAAAGTTATATAATGTGATTTATGTGTTTTACCATGGTTCTATGGTGGTGAAATAGTTAAAATAGGTATTATAAGCTAAAAGAAAACTACCAGCTTTTGAGATTGAATACATGATATTTTCTGTATAGCCTTATAAGAATAAATTATATGTGGGTGTGTGTGTGTGTGTATATATATATATATATAATCACAGCCCCCTCCCCTACTCTAGCTGTCACATTCCTGGATGTCCAGATAGTATCAGTCTATGCATGCGTGCCAGATGTTGCTCAAGGTCATTGCTAATTCTTTCAACTAATCCACCTGCATCCTGTTCAGTTACAGTATTGACTTTGTAGACCTAAAACAAAAGTACGCTATGACACTCAATTTTTTTACTTTCCCATAGTTTCTGAAAATGGGAGTCACTTTATATTCACGATTGCCATATAATCAGACCAATACGATATATCAGGTGAAAATGTTCTTAAAAATTGCTGTTTTTGAAAAGACTTCTTTATAGGTTATCTACGCATGCTATCTTATCCATTTCAACTCAGAAATATACACCAGCACAACAACTTTTTCAAGGGTTTCAATAAAATTCAGAGAAAGGAAAGTAAAGAGAAGTAATCACAAATTTTGATCATGTGACCGTAGTTTACTCCTACAGTAAACAAATGGCATATGTACTTAAATGCCAACAGTTTTTTCAGTTTATATTAGTAGAAATAGGTATGTAAAATGAGTTTCTTTTCAAAGTTATCATCTACTAACAGAATTTAAACCTTCTAGCATGATCTGTTGATTAGGGTACTTGCAATCCGTGGGTTGCAGAATTGAAACCCATCACTGAACATGCTTGCAACATCGGCCATCAGGGCATTATACAGTTATGGTCAATCCCACTATTTATTGGTAAAGAGTAGCCCTACAGTTGGCAGTGGGGGTGTTGATGTTTCGGTGACTTCCCTGTGATCAGTAGTTTTATATTAGGGATGGAAGCACATAGCCTTAGTTACCCTGCCATAAATGAACAGTATTGAATATTATACTATGGCAATGAGCTCATAAACATTGTAATAAGAAAAGCAACTGTCAACTACCTCTAGAAGGTCATAATAAGTTTAAAAATTAAGTGTTTTTTGTTTTTCAACTTTTGTGTCCTGACTGCATATAAGTATCATTCGCCCTAGAAATATTAAATGTAAAATACCCGAGATTGTGTACTTTGATGGATTTTACCGACTTTTGTTTGTAGAAATGGGTTTAAGTTTCAGCCCTGAAATATGACTGGTTTCAACTTTTTTTTTTTTCCTATGCTTTGAATGTGAGTTTACAAATTACAATTATTATATAATAAAAAATAGCTATTATTAAATAAAATGTTTTTATTAATTTCAGATGTCACATGCCGCAGCTACGTCTCTTTGCAAAAGTATAAAACTAGCATGTGAATTATACCCCTCCCGTCATGTAGCTCTATGTTTGGACCCTTATTGTGGTTTGGGGTTTGTGCTTTGGTGTTTGAATAGGTAAGATATATTGAAAGGTCTGATACTGTTTTTATACTACAATCATAAAATATTTTAATTCTTTTTGTGTGTGTTAATTTCACATAGAAAGTGTTCATTATAACACAGATTTTTAGAGAAATGTGTTTATCTCTTGTATACTCTGATGTTATATAAAATCGTTTTAGGCACATTTTTTATTTTAAAAATATCCTTATTTAGAAAGAGACATATCCTTGTAACACGTGTGTTTATAAGATAACGGTTTAGAAGTAATGGATTAATTCATACCTTTTTATATATATATAATTTTTTTTATATTTCACTTGTATACTCTGTTTTTTTTACATGGTTTGGCTTATGAAAAACTAGATGTTTTTTATATATAAAACCAAAACACCGTATTCTCCAAACCTTATTAATAAGTTTCATCTTATTGTTACTTATTACTTTTCAGTTGTTTTAATATCGGTAGTTAAATGCATTTAAGACAGAATACTATGTACAACAAAGTATTTTTGAAGATAATCTTACTGCTTGAAATTCAAACTTTTAAGTTTTTTATTTTATTTAGGTTCCTCCTGAAATATTTAAGAATATAAATAGTTATCGGACTTCTGCTTTGTTCATTATAGTCTCTTTATCATATTACCTTATTATTATTAGTGAACCCGTGGGCTTATGGCCATCATTTACAGGGCTGTTATAATGAAGATTTAATATTTGAACTACTATTTTGCACTATCATTGCTGCTATAATGCAAATTTAATTTGTTTAATCAAATTACGAACAGTGATTAGTAGGCCTACTTATTTACGTGCTCTAATGTAAATGAGTGTCAAATTTAGGGTCCACTTTCAAGGAATTTTTGTAAAAATATTTTTTGAGAAATACCTCAGTTACTTAAGAGATTAGGAGAAAAGGTTTACTTTTATGCCAAGACCAAAATGACTCACTTGGCACCACTTAGAAGTTGGTGAGTCCAGCAGTTTAGGAGGAGTTACATGACACGCACACAGACAATGAATCTTGTTATATAGATACATCAAATCCAGGTTTTATAGCGTTTTGTTTCGGATTGCCAGTTATGATTCTTACTTTGATTACTTTGTGAAATATTGTTTTGAAAAGTTTATGTAACATAATGCGTATTATTGAATTTTATGCTAACAGTGTGTATTCAGGCCACCACTCCATTCTTATCCCACCTTCGGAAATAGAAGTCAATCCAGCCCTCTGGTTATCAACACTTAGTCAATATAAAGGTAAAAAAGTGTTTAATGATCTATTATATTATTTTTAGATGTATTCAGACTTAAGTTACTCAATTTCTCTTCATGAGTTGATTTTGTTGCTTATTTCTGTTATTAGTATAAATATATTTATCATACCGGTTGAATTATATCTATGTCTATATGGACTGACTTTCTTTACCTTATGCTTGTGGGTGGTTCAAAATGTACATGTCTGACCTTTTTTACAGAGTACCATTCAGAATTTAAATTAACAACTTTATTGTTAATATATGTTAATACACTTGGTATCAAAACCTAGATTATAATTGGAATTTTAATATCTGAGTTTTAGTTCTAGTTCAGTCTTCACCTCTTCTGACTCACGTGATACTTCTGACCTCTGAACTCTCCCCTTTAGTCTTTATAATTTCAACAACACAACTTCTATAATTCGAAACGCACTACACCTACTTTTCAACTTTTCACTAAAATGTCTGTTGATGATTTGATTACAGTTAGTATTAAGATAGAAAAAAATAAGAGATGAAAAATAAAGATTTACCTAAAAAATAAAAAAAGACTCATGAGGCTCTAGTGTCGAAAGTGTTATCAAATAAATTATTTTTCATTTAACAATTTCATTACTTAATTTTTTGTTACATGTGTAAAAAATTTTACGAATCATCATTGTTTATCAATATGGTCTATAGCCAAAGAAATTCTAAGTTTAAAATCATTAGTCTAGTATAATATTTGAGACCTGCACATTTTTTTACATTGAAGATGATTTAGGTATGATAAATTCTTTAATACCGTACATTTTTTAACAAGCTTCTAATATTCGAATGATTTAAGATTAAAGAAACTGGTTTACCAAATCTCCTATAAACAATCTCTTTTTCTTTTTGCATATTTACGTAGTTCGAGATACCTTCTGTTCTTATGGAGTGATGGAGCTGTGCACTAAGGGACTTGGATCTTCTATTAATCAACTTAAAGTAAGATTGAACATTACAAGTTTCTTCTGTTTACAAAACTTCATAACACTGGTTGTTATCCCTATTTGTTTCTTAAAGTAGGAATATGGAGTTTTTATTTCAATAGCTTAGACTGATTTACTTTACACAGTATAAAAATCTGTTTTTTAACTAACAGTGTTGAATGATGAATATATATATATATAAAGTCCTCCATTAAAAAAAAAGTTTGTGTATTAAAGTTTTTCTGTAAAAAATAATAGTTTGCGTGTTAAAGTTTTTCTGTAAAAAATAATAGTTTGTGTGTTAGTTTTTCTGTAAAAAATAATAGTTTGTGTGTTAGTTTTTCTGTAAAAAAATAGTTTGTGTGTTAAAGTTTTTCTGTAAAAAATAATAGTTTGTATGTTAAAAATTTTCTGTAAAAAATAATAGTTTGTATGTTAAAATTTTTCTGTAAAAAAAAATAATAGTTTGTGTTAAAGTTTTTCTGTAAAAAATAATAGTTTGTGTGTTAGTTTTTCTGTAAAAAAATAGTTTGTGTTAAAGTTTTTCTGTAAAAAATATTAGTTTGTATGTTAAAGTTTTTCTGTAAAAAAAAATAATTGTTTGTGTGTTAAAGTTTTTCTGTAAAAAAAGAATAATTTGCAGATATTCTCAGTCTAGTTCGTTACTGTAAAATAGAAGATTCTAAAGTTACTGTTGTTTAGTAGCTAACAGCACTTGTTTACCAGCAGCGAGGTATGAATTTGAATTGTGTTCGAACGTGTGTGGTTGTGGCAGAAGAACGACCTCGAGTCACTCTCACCAACTCCTTTTCCAAACTCTTCTCAATCATAGGACTCTCTCCACGTGCTGTCAGCACTTCTTTTGGTTGTCGAGTTAATGTAGCTATTTGTCTTCAGGTTTGTTACATTTCAATTTATCAAGCATTTTAATTTTAGGGTTCTTTTTGAAACATTTATGGTTTATTAATACGTTTGCTATGGAGATTCTGTTTTTATGTTATTTATAAACAACTATGTGTAAGATTATTATGTTTAGTGTAATAGATCTTACTTGTATTCATTATTTTACTCTGAAGATGTATAGCTATGTATAGATCTAACCCCTCCTAAAAGGATTCAAAATAGGCAAAACTTACTTTTTTTTGTATGTCAACATGTTGGGAACATGAAAATGTATAGTTGTGCCGATTTTCATCTTGATTGCTTTAAATATGACCATACAAGAGCTCAAGATGTTCATTTTTGGGTTGTTTGACCTTTCATCCTGTAACACATTTAAAAAGGCTTGAATATAAAAAATGAAAATTTTTATCTGGGTGTATTGGACCAAGGTATAACCATACCAAGTTTCAAGTCAATCTGTTGAGAAATGAAAGATTGGTGACCAATTGAGAATAAACAATAGAAAAACAGTAGAGACATTGTGCTTTTCACCATCTCGATAATAATTATATCACAGGGACAGAATAAAAAAAAATTTGGACTTTTTTTAATTACTTCTCAGATCAAAGAAAATTTTAAATCTTAACATTTCAGTTATAATTTTATTTTGGGGGTAATTTGAGGGGATAGATTCCACACAATTTGCAAAACTTGATGTCATAATTTTTCTACTGTAATAATCCAAGACACCGGGTAGGAAAGGGTTAATATAACAAAAATTTTTAATGTAGCAAAGATTGTGAGCTAACCAGTAAATTGAAAGAAAATAATTAGTGATTTTGTATTAGTAGATAATTTTTTACTGTATATGTGTAACTTATTAACTGCTGAGTGAGATGTGCATAGAGGAGTTACTGATGTATCATTATATTGAATTCTTGTTGGATAAAAATGCTTGTTGCTGTTACATATAGGAGTTTATTTCTTTCTCAGGGAGCCTCTAGTCCAGACCCCACAACAGTGTATGTAGATGTACGGGCTTTGAGAAATGACAGGGTGACCGTAGTTGAACGAGGTGCACCTCATAGTTTGTGTCTTGTAGAATCTGGAAAGTTGTTACCTGGAGTAAAAGTTGTTATTGCTGACCCAGAGACCAAAGGTCATTGTGCTGACTCCCACTTGGGAGAGGTAAAGTGGAATTAGTTATATTATATTTAAAAAAAAAGTTTGATCGGAAGTCGATTAATTAGTGATGTGAAGTAAAGTTTGTTAACTGTTCTGAGCCCTTTCAGCCGTGAGGGCATTATAATGTGATGGTCAATCCCACTATTCATTGATAAAAGAGTAGCCCAAGAGTTGGTGGTGGGTGGTGATGACTAGCTGCCTCCCCTTTAGTCTTACCCTGCTAAATTAGGGACGGCTAGCGCAGATATCCCTCGTGTAGCTTTGCGTGAAATTCAAAAACAAACAAACTGTTCTGAACTTTTTCAAGTTTAACATACTTACTGGTTTCCAGTGTGCTTGAGGGGTATTTTATTTAATAACTTTCACATCACTTATTCTTAGTTTTAAAACTATATGATAAACAATTTCAAAACCTTACCATCAGTATTACGAATTGAAAAGATATTTTTTGGGAGTTTCTTACATATTTGACTTCAATAAAAATTGTGCATTCTCTTAACATCAAGCTCCATCATAAGAGATCAGTTTATTTATTCACTTTAGAACCTGTCAGTCCAGCAAATAATGCAACTTATAACCCATGACACTTTGACAGAAATAACCTGTCAGTGTTCGTATAGATTTATTTCTGTATACGATGCTACCATATTAAGGGTATCCTACACTTCCAGACCTCATGTAATTTTTAAATTTATTTTGGAGATACTTGTATCAGCTGTATTTTGTAAATACAAAAGCTATTTTATTTTCAACATTGTAAGTATATTTTCAAGTTTACTGTTCCAGTACAACAGTGTTACTTCTGTGTTAGGCCAAAGTTTGTTTTTTATACGTGCTTATATCAAGAATAATGAGAAGTGAAAATAAAAAGCTTCTTAAAGTTATACTTGTCTTGTTTTGGTTTTATTAAGCAGTAGTTACCAATAATATTAGTTATAACTACACTTGCTAACTCACTACTACACTTCTCTCTTTTTTGTTTTTTGCCCCTTCTTTCTCTTTCTAGTATTGTTTACCTTAGATTTATCTAAACTTATGTATTATGTAAGGATGTTTAATTGAAATTCAAGTGTGTTCCCAAGGCTGATATTGAATTTTTAGATTATTTATCCAAAATACTTAGTTTGCATAACACAAAAATACAAATCCGTAATTTTTTAAGATATGTGTTTAATTATTAATGTTTGTTTGTAACATGTAGTTGTTGTTTTGTTTGTAATTTAGTTTTATGTTATATATTAAATGTCCCCTGGTGGGACTGCTGTAAATCTATTCACTTACAATCCTAAAATCTGGGGTTTTATTCCCTGTGGTGGACACTGCAAATAGCCCAATGTGTCCTTTGTTTAAAACAAACAAATATTAAAATATTAAAGTATCATTGTATAACCTGGAAGAGGAAGGTGTCTCAAAACTTAAAACTTTTTTTTTTTCAGATACTGTTCTTTTTTCATAAATAATTATGGGTATTTTATTTCAGATTTGGGTACAGTCACCTCACAGTTGTACTGGCTACTTCACTATATATGGGGATGAGTCACTCCACAGTGACCATTTTAATGCACGTTTGATTACAGGTGACACTGCACAAACATATGCACGCACAGGTTATTTAGGATTTTTACGAAGAACAGAGTCGGTACAAGCAGATGGTGGTGAGTACTTTGAATAGTTTCTGCAAGTACTCAGTTCTTGCATGTTTTCATTTGTTTCTGTATGTCTTAAAGTTTTCTTTTTATATACTGAAGTCTGTTAAGCTTTAACTAGCCCTGTAAAAGTATTCAGATGTGCATACAAGTAGAGATATGGGATTGAATAAACTATACATCATTTATTATTACTGTGTTCAATCTCAGTGATAGTCAAATTCAATATTACTGGACTTTATACAGTCATGCAGTATGATATTCTTGGGTGTATTAATTTCTCATAAGAATAACCAGATAAGCTACTTTCGATCATTCCCGTTGAGAAGTCAAAGTATCGCTAGACCCACTAGAGGAAATTGCTGCCTACTTTCACATAAGGTGTTCAACTTTACAGAAATCTTTTGCATAAAAAGGTGTATGTGAAACTGTAGGGAACTGATTCAGGACAATAGATAACTTGAGCAAAAGTGACTTAACCATTTCATTGACCAATTTCTGTAGTTAAAACTACATACAACTACATGAATGAACAAATTTTCAAAGATTTCCAGATTAATTTTTAAGAGTTTAAGGTTTTCTCTAATTTTACGTACATTTATTTGCTTTGTTTATATAGAAAAGAGACGAAGACGTATTCGCTTTTTCCAAATTACTCAGAATTGAGTTGTTTTAATATTCTCAAAAATATACAGTTAAGATTGTTTGTTGGATTAATGTAAACTAAGAAGAATTAATTAATGAATATGATGAATAGACAAAAACATTTGAAAACACATATCTTTAATTAAAAAAGAATGAGTAAAAAAAAATATTATGGTTGTTTTAGTTATTTTATATTTTTATACAGGAATATTAAAAGTATAATGCTAATTTTAATTATATTCTCTATTTAAATATTTTGTCATTATAGATTCAAATTGTGGATACAGAGTTTTTGTTTGAGGTCCTTTGTTTGTTTTCCAGAACTTCATGATGCAGTATTTGTGGTGGGCTCTCTAGATGAAACTCTTATGCTACGAGGAATGCGATACCATCCCATAGACATTGAGAACAGTGTCCTTCGTTGCCACAAGAAGGTATCAGAATGGTAAGTCATTAATCTTGTTCTTAAACTCGTTGCTTATTTTAAGTTACAGACTTCCTATCCCTATCAAACAACTAGTAACAACTTGTGTTAAGGAACAGTCTTAGTTCACAGTAATTTACAACCTAACTCGAGGAAGTTTACAGTTAGAATAAGGAAACTGAGTCTCAGGCCAATGGTGACACTCAAAATAACATTTATTTAACCCAAACATTACACACTTTGAACGTTAGTTATATTGGATTACTACTTATATATCATATTAAACACTTTTATCTAGATACATTTACTATCTTCCATGATTCTACACTAACTGATTGAGAGAGAGAGTTGGGCTGTTAGAAGTCTTGGCCTCATTTGTCATCTTCATTGTCATCTCTTCAGAGCCTGGAAGACTTTTCTTCAGTCCCAGAGAACTTTAACTTTTCAGTCTCTGACATGGGTTTTTAAACTAACTTGGTATTATTTCGACCCACTAAATAGGACACAGCATCACCCACAAGTAGTCCTGTGCTCCGATTGGATATATTAGGGGAATTCCCGGGCTAAACCATAATCATAACCAAAACTCTCAAGTAATTGGTTATAAATAAGTGGTGTTAGCCGGCTGCCTATTCACTTTTACTGCTACACCTATGTGCTGTAACTAATACCACCTCAAAGTGCCGATATGACACACCAAACCAAACTTTTCTGCAGCTTTCTTAGTTCTAAGAGGTTGAGATCAGTAATCCATCAACTTGTCATAAATACTAGTGCATTCATCTTGTTCCCAGGCAACGTTTCTTACGTAACTATGCTTCTGACCTTGGTTACTAGTTCTCAAGCTCATCTCACAAACTTATTTCGTAATACACGTGTCTTGTTGCTTGTTTCTAGGCAACGCTTCTTACATAACTAGGTTCCTGACCTTGTTTACTAATTTTCGAGCTCATCTCACAAGCTTGTTTCGTAACACGGGTGTCTTTTTGTTACCTCTCTTTTTTTATATATCCTTGGCAACTTACTAAAAACCTTTAAGTTCTATTCTATGTATTTTTGACTAATAAAACCCTGAAGCAATTGTAAAATTTCATTGAAAATTTTCAAGTTGCTTTATAATGTATTGAAGCAGTTCTTATATTCACAAGAGTTGTCAGTCTAAAGTATTGAAGCAGTTCTTCTATGCACAATAGCTGTCAGTCTAAACTATTGAAGCAGTTCTTCTATGCACAAGAGCTGTCAGTCTAATGTATTGAAGCAGTTCTTCTATGCACAAGAGCTGTCAGTCTGATGTATTGAAGCAGTTCTTCTATGCACAAGAGTTGTCAGTCTAATGTATTGAAGCAGTTCTTATATTCACAAGAGCTGTCAGTCTGATGTATTGAAGCAGTTCTTATATGCACAAGAGCTGTCAGTCTGATGTATTGAAGCAGTTCTTCTATGCGCAAGAGCTGTCAGTCTAATGTATTGAAGCAGTTCTTATATTCACAAGAGCTGTCAGTCTGATGTATTGAAGCAGTTCTTATATTCACAAGAGTTGTCAGTCTAAAGTATTGAAGCAGTTCTTCTATGCACAATAGCTGTCAGTCTAAACTATTGAAGCAGTTCTATTCACAAGAGCTGCCAGTCTAATGTATTAAAGCAGTTCTTATATTCATGAGCATCTACAAACATTATATTAATTTCACTTTTAACCCCTTATCATCCATGGAAGGATTTCTTGAATTACAGTAGCAATGCTTTGACCACAACAAACCAGGCACAGGCACTTAAACGGCACATAAGACATTTAGCATATATATATATATATATAGGTGGAGATTATGTATAGCATGCATAAGTATGGAGGTGGAAATGATAAAGGGTTAAAGGGTGTAGATTCCATCTTTCCTTATGCTTTGTAAATCTGTTAGATATTATGATTAGTTCAATTTAGATATAGTTTCTTGTTTGTTTGTTCATTAGTTGGACATTTACCACATCTAAAAAGAGTAAAAAAAATCTATCAAATTTCATACTTGCCTATGGACGTGAGCTTGCCAACTTTTGTAAGAATTTTAACCTTTGAATTAAAAACAATGAAACATTTGAAATCAACCGTAGAGATATAAATTAATGAGCAAATCAGCCGATCAGAAAGAATGTCATCATTAATAATTAGTCTCTAGTATTATCTAATTTTTTTTACTCAACTTACCTCAACTGTTATGCGAAAGCTTAATTTTATTACTGTGGTCTAAAAACTTGTGTTTCTTTAGTGCTGTGTTCACGTGGACAAATCTCTTGGTGGTGGTAGTGGAACTTGATGGGAATGAGAACGAAGCTTTGGATGTGGTTCCCCTGGTAACCAATGTTGTTTTGGAAGAACATCAGCTCATCGTGGGTGTCGTTGTCGTTGTGGATCCTGGTGTTGTCCCCATCAACTCGCGAGGTGAAAAGCAGAGAATGCACCTCCGAGATGGGTTTCTTGCTGACCAGCTTGACCCAATATATGTTGCATATAACATGTGACTACCCTACCGGTCTTCATGGGTTGAATGACAAGATTTTTTAATTAAACCAGTCACTAAACAAAACTGTCTGCATGATACGGATTAAACCATTTAATGGTTTATGAGGAACTATTTTACAATCATACATAATGTAAAATACAACTTTCTGACTTGTTTGAATCATGTGTTTAAAAGTTTTGATTGTAATATACACTCCTACTATTGTGATAATATTTGAGCATTGTCTAGTGTAATGAGCGAAAAATTCTTGGTATGCAACCTGTGAAGGCTTGATTGACTTACATTACATAAACTACTGTTTCTTATGTAGTACACATAGTTGTTCATATTGGCAGTTCATTATTTATCTAATATATCCTGATTGTTCAACAAATCAGTTTAAGTGTAAAGAACGGTTAATGCAATCAAAAGTTGTTGTTAATGAATTGGAAGCTTTGTTCTCCTTTTAAAAACTAGAGCATAGTTGTATGCTACGTTAACTTGTAAACGTTAATTATTTAACCTACCTTAGTAGAACAATAACCTAAGCCAGTCAGAAAAAGTTACTGCTTTAAATGCAATATATATTTTGTATTTAATAGAGCTAGGAAGAAAGGCAGCTATAATTAACAGTCAACCATAGGTATCAAAATAATGTCAATCTATAAAAGTGCATTTGGTTTGTAAATGCTTGGCTTGGTTCCAGCTCAACATACAGTAAATGTACAACGTTTCGACAAGGCTTTGTCATCATCAGGTACAAGTAGTTTACACTGAC